AAAAAAAAAAAAAAAAAAAAAAAAAAATTCCTAATGAATCCGTTACATGCTACAATATTAGGCAAAATAGGCGGCTGATTGTTGGGTAAGATTAAAAGGTAAAATAAAAAATAAAATGTGATGTAATGGTTTTTGGAGGGAAACGAAAAATATTTTTATTAAATGCTGGCCGGTTTTTATTAATTGATGTGCTAGCAATTATATATACTGGTATTTGACCTTGTGCATTTGCACATATATAAATAAAATGTTATAAATTATTCATATGCATATAATATTAAAATTATAAGTTAGATAATGGTCTTAAATTTTAAACATAGGGCATTATAGGTTATATTTATGCATATAATATTAAAATTATAAGTTATATAATGGTATTATGTTTTAAAATATACTCATTGGTTAAAAATAAATAGTACATAACTACTTGATTGCATATGAATTACTATATTGATAAATAAGATGTGATAAATAATGTAATATTTTTTATTTGATCATGCAATTAATTTGATAAAAAAAATTAATTTATTATAACAAATTTTTTATGCGATTTTAAATAAATTTACTATGAAATTAAAACAAATTAATTTACTAAAAAAACAATCGATCAATCAGATAATAAAGTACAATATTGATTTCAGAATAAATAACTTGAACAAAAAGTTATATAAAATATTTTTTTATGTTTATACAACTTTCATATATCATTTACTGTAAAATATTTTATTAATTCTAATAATAACTATTATTTGATACAATAAAAAAATATTATTATTACTCAATTACTATAAAATGTAACGGTCTTTGTCTTAATTAACAGAATCAGTTTTTGAAAAGTTACATGTCATGTAGGTAAAATTTATGAGATAAAATTTATAACATTTTATTAAATAAATTGCTAAAAATTGTATATATAATATATAGATAGAGATATATAATTAAATAGCATTGATTAAATGATTAACGTATCTTTAACTCTGTCGTTTTTTTATGTTCTCCGTTGGATTGTTGTATTCAAACTATGTTCGCGTTTTGAGTTTAATATAGTTTCCTTTATCGTTTCGAAAAAAAAAAAAAAA